GCCGTCCTCTCGCTCGCTCTCGCAACCTTTGCGCGGGCGGTGCTCAAGCCACAGCAGCAGTGGCTACCTCATCGCAGCGCGGCCCACCTCCCCTCTGCTGCTACGAGCGAGGTGAGAGTCGATCGATGATGATACAGCAGTATGTAAGAAATTCGGACACACGCGTCGCTGCTGTCGGCGACTTGGTGGTACCATCTCCGCAAGGCAGCTTCCTCTTTTTCCCCGCATTTTTGAAAGAAAAACGTCACGTGTTCGACTGCTCCCTCGCAATGGGGCTGGTGTTCTCGTGGACGCCCGATAAGCTCTTAAGGTTAGTACGGACAAAGTTGCGAGATACCGGCAGACCAACACGCGCACACAGCAGCTTTTTGGACCCCTCTTGCTACAGCCGTGTGTATATATCTGTCGGAACGATGTGTATCTCATCATCTCATCTGCCCACGGATCGGCGGGGGTATTAATCCGTAAACAAACCCGCCGCCCCCACCAGCCGCACAAGCGAAAGGACCTTGGCAATGCCTGCGCGTGTGCGCGTGCGGTGTCTAACAAGCCCGTTGGTTTGCAACAGCAGAAGGGAAGACACGGGCGCTCACACCCTGCAGGCAGTCTGTCTTGTTTGGGAGAGCCAGTGGTCTGAACCGGGTCATGTCGATGTCGTCGCAGTGTTTTCTGTCGTTTCTCCCCTTGGCGGAAAAACTGGCTGTATTTTTTTTTAGAGGGCGTGGCTGCATGTCTACCCTCCCTCGCTCCCTCCCTCCCTCCCTCCCTCCCTCCCGTGCAACGATTGCTCACGGCTAGCAAGCCATTTACAGCGAGCAGACTAGGCTTGTGTATGCAAGCAACAAAGTCACCCTCAAGACCAATCCCCGCGCAGCGGCGGTGTGTGTTTTTGCTGTATTTTTTTTTTCTAATTTCTGTTCGTATTTGGTTGTATGCATGGACGCCGAACGCACAACACCCCATTTTTTCCCATAACAAAATTTAGGGTTCCGTAACTACTTGCTGCTGCTGCGAATAGTTTGCTGCCGAAGCTGCTGGCCGGGACAAAAACCATCAAGTCCTGCACAAATACCTGCTGCTGCTGCTGCTGCTGCTGCTGATTGTTTTTTCGCACCACGACACGTTTCTGCTCTCCCACCGCCCCTGCGCTACCATCGTTTTTCTCTGCGTGCATACGCCTGGTGCTGTCGGCAATGCTCACGGACCTCTATATTTGGTCATACCGGACATTTCTCTGCTTGCTCTGCTGTGGCCCACGCTAGACGACGGCAACGACGCCGACTTGAGTTTTTTCTTCAGTGACCACAACCACGCCACCTGCCTCAAAGCCCGCGATAGGCGGCGGGGACGCTAAACAGCCGCTATCAATTGGCAGCTCCAACCAGCATGAGCGAAAACGGGGGGAGCCCGGCGGGAGAGGTGGTTGCGGCTGCTTCCGGCACGGGGATTGAGGAACAACCAACAACGGTGTGTGTCTGTCTTTTTTTTTTTCTTCGTACTGAAGTGGAAGATACTGCTGTGTGTGTGTTTGTTTCTGAAAGATGTGCCGCCGCGTTTGGCGGGTGCGCATCGTATGGGTTTTATTGGCCTCTCGCTGCTGCAGGCGGGACAAGGACAGAATCAGCAGAAGTCGTTCAACACTGATGTAGCTATATGCTATTATCTTGTGAGCAGAAGAGAGGGAATCCTAACAATAACCTTTCTCCGCAAACGTGAGGGAGATGTGACCCTTTTTTCAGAGTCATCTCCGCATGGACTTGACTTGAACCTGGAAAAAACAAAACGGACAAGATTTTTTTTTTCTTTCCGCCGGTCGTCGTCAGCACGCACGCCATACACCAAAAAATGCACGTTGTAAAAACGTCTGGGGATGGATGTGGTTTTTGCCCCCCCCTCCGGCCTATCAACCAAGCACCCGGCGAGGGTTGGATACATGCGTTCGCGGATACTGCTGCTGTAGCCATAGACATCCCTGCTGCCCTTGTGAGTGACACGCTCAACAAGCGACAGCGTTAGTTAGTCGTCGTTGCCTGCATGATGTTGCGGCTGGACCTCCCACCCCCCGCATGCGCATAACGCGTGACCAAACGGCGCGCCATATTGCTGTTGCTGCTTGCAGTGCGCGTGGCCCGCCGCTGTGTGCTGCCTCTGTCTACTCCCGTGGGTAAATAGTTGGTCCGTCGGCGGCGGCGGCGGCGGCGGCGGCGGCGATGTATCTTCCACCGCTGCTGCTGCCGAGCGGCATCGTGTATGTAGCACCACCAACCACCGCCAAACAGCGTCCCCGATGTGTGTCGGCGCGTTATCCATGCGAAGCCAAGCCCCTGTGGTTGTTGGATCCTCCTTCCTTCGCACGCAATTTTCAAAATAACGAAATTTTAGTTCGGTATCCTCCCGGGGGACATTGTAGCGTCGGTAGATAGATCCCTTAACGTTCACACACAACCGTTTTTATAATTCTGCTCAACCCCCCTGAGGCCTTGGCATTTTCGTGAGCCGTCATGAACCTGCCCTGCCGTAGCTGACAAGAACAAGGCACGTAAAATACGCAGCAGTCGGAAAAACGCATGGCCATACGTGGTATATCTTATGTACCAGGTACGCAGCTTAAAAGCTACATCGGAAAAGTTTGCCGCTGCCTCCGCTACCTTTGTTATTTACCTCTGCTCTGGCGGTTGACGGCTAGCGTGCGCGATGTTTCTCTGGGTACTCCCACACCACACCTCATTAGATGGACTTCGCGATCTCGCCACCCCCCCCACCCCCCCCCC